GCCCCCTGGCCGGGAGGTTGCGGGGGGGTCCCCCGGGCGGGGTTTGGGGGGTACCTGGCCCCCGGGAAGCCCGGGCTGAAAGGGGGGGCAGGGCCTTGGGGAGCAGAAAGATGGGGGAGGCCAGATCCATTGGGGGGTGCAGAGCTGGGCACCCCGGGGACAGGCTGGGGGGGGTCGGGGGCAAGCCCCCCCCCCCTGTCAAAGGCTGGAGACCAGACTGGCCTTTGCGGCACGAGGGCCCTGCTCCCCTCCGGCGGGGGCCAGCCCCGGGGCAGAGGGAGGCAAGGGCAAGGTGGGCTCTGGGCGGGAGCAGAAGCAGAGAGTAAGAACCAAATGGAAACATGAAAGATGGCAAAGGAATGGACATAGCCCTGCTCCCTGCTGACTAGCTCCTAGTCTGCATCTGAACGGTAGAGCAGCTGTGTTACTGGCCGGCATAGTCAATCCCATTGATTTACCAGCTGCCTCTCAGCAACCTGCAATGGAAAAGTCCCATCACTGTTATTTGGGGCAGCACTACAATTTTGTCCCGCTAATACGTATAGTGTAGTGCAGTGTTTCCCAATTTTATTTGGTCATGGAACCCTTTTCAGCTTACAAGAATTTCATGGAACCGCTAGGGTTGCCAGGGTAAAATTTGTCAAGCCAAAAAAAAAAAAAAAACCCTGCAAAATAGACTCTGTTGCTTTAAGAAGGGACGGGGGAGAGCTGCATTTTCACGGAACCCTTACTTTTGCTTCGCAGAACCCCAGAGTTCCATGGAGCATCAATTGAGAAACACTGGTAGTGTGGAGAGACCCAGCATACATGGCTAACAATGGGTATCAAGCTCTATTGACACTGTCTACACCTAGAGGGCAAACATTTTGTATCCAAGTTGAGGGAGAAGGGTAGGTTTACGTAACGTAGGTTTACATAACTCCTTTTGTCAATTAGGGTTTGTTGTTCTAGGAGTGGTCTGTGCTTAAAAGTTAGGTCAATATACCTTCATCTGGCAAGGTATAAAATCCACTTTCCTGAGGGACATAGCTATGGTGACCTAACCCTCAAGGTAGATACAACTGTGAATGGAAGTACGCTTCCGTCAATCTAGCTTCTTCACAAACAATAATCCCAACTATACGTATAAAATGATGGTGACTAATTTAGCTGTTACCACTTGGAGTTGTGGATAAATCTCTGACAATGTCCATTCAATGTGCAGCAGCAGTCAAAAAAGCAAACAGTGTTAGGAACCATTAAAAAAGGGATAGAGAATAAGGCAGAGAATATTTTATTGTATCTGTATAAATCCATGGTACGTCTACATCTTGAATACTGTGTGCCTCATCTCAAAAAAAGATAACTTGGCATTAGAGAAAATTCAGAAAAACGCAAAAAATGATTAAGGGTATGGGACAGCTACCATATGAGAAGAGACTAATCAGACTGGAGCTTTTCAGCTTGGAAAAGAGACAACTAAGGGGGGATATGATAGAGGTCTATAAAAACATGACTGGTGTAGAGAAAGTAAACCACTTGTTCCCAGAAGTGATCCGAGGCCAGGTGCGGCAGCTGGCGCCCCAGGCGGGCGGCGCCCCCGCCTGCATGGCCGTCAATGGCCGTGACATCATCCCGGGACGCCCCGGCGCCCCATGACATCATCACTGGGCACCTGGGCCAGCAGCGCTCTAGGCAACTGCCTAGTTTACCTAGGCTCACGGGCCGCCCCTGCTTGTTCCCATAACACGAGCTGTCTACACTGGCAACTTTTTCCGCAAAATCATCTGCTTTTTCCGCAAGTTTTGTGGAAAAACTTGCCAACTGTCTACACTGGCCGCTTGAATTTCCACAAAAGCACTGACGATCTCATGTAAGATTGTCAGTGCTTTTCCGGAAATATTATGCTGCTCCCGTTCGGGCAAAAGTCTTTCCGAAAAACTTTTGTGCAGAAGGGCCAGTGTAGACAGCAGAGATTTGTTTTCCGCGAAAATGGCGACCGGGGCTTTTTTGCGGAAAACCGCATCTAGATTGGCCATGGACGCTTTTCTGTAAAAAGTGCTTTTGCGGAAAAGCGTCCTGCCAATTTAGACGCGTTTTTCCGAAAATGCTTTTAACGGAAAACTTTTCCGTTAAAAGCATTTCTGGAAAATCATGCCAGTGTAGACGTAGCCCTTTAAGAAGTATTTCTTCAGACAATGCACAGTCAACCTGTGGAACTCTTTGCCAGAGGATGTTATGAAGACCAGGACTTTAACAGAGTTAAAAAAAGAAATAGATAAATTCATTGAGAATAAGTCCATCAATAGCTATTAGCTAGGATGGGCAGGAATGGTGTCCCTACCCTCTGTCAGAAGCTGGGAATGGACAACAGGAGGTAGATCACTTGATGATAACCTGTTCGGTTCTGTGGCTCCTGAAGACAGGACACTGGGCTAAGTGGGCCTTTGGTATGACCCAGTATGGCTGTTCTTATGGTTATGCTGGCACAGCTACAGTGATGTAGCTATCTATTCCAATAGTTTCAGTAGGATAGAGAGACCCTCATGTAGATAAAGCCAAAGACAACTAGATCTCTGTAAGATTTCCAGGGTCAGCGCAGGACTATAGCATTTCCTTTGTGCCATATTACATAAAGCTCCTGGGAGAGGCTGGACACTTTGAGAAGAGAGTATGGACAATCCTATAATTTTTTTAGTGTGAATGCTGAGCAGTTACAAGCTGGATTTTAGATATCTGTTCATTAATAAATTGTTGCTTTATTGCAGCGGACGTGTGGATGATAGCTTCATTTTGAAGGCCTTTCCTAACACTTTTGATCCTCTCCTCTCCCCCCCCCCCCCAAAAAAACCCCCTATTTAAAGTTCCATGCCATGGTCTTGTTAGCAGGCAGCTTTACTGTGTTTACATATGGCTTTAATTGCATCAGTAGTTAATTTGATTTGTGATTATTCCCATGTTAACAAAGCTCCTTGTTTAATGAATTTATCTTCTGCTGCAGAAGGCATGTCATTCCTAAGCAGACTGTTGTACCCAAATTTCAAATCAAATTTAAGGAATTTGTACATGGCTGTGCAAGTGTTTGAGGGCGTTCACTTGAGATATTCTCCACTGTGTGTTCATCAACCCACACTGGACATATTTGTGTTTGCAAAGCTATACTTAACAGTCCCCAGGGCACTTCCATTTCACTCAGAACTAATATTTGCTTAATAAAAATGTTAATCAATTGACAGAAAACAAACTCAGAGGCATGTGTGGGACTTGGCTTCTTGGAAGATAAACATTCTAATTTTCTTTTTATAGCAAATACTCTCTTGTGATCACATTGTATGTTTCTAATCCCACAGGGCCAATTTGAAAAATCCTGCAGTGTTTCTAGCAGCTGTATATTTACTATTATCACACATACCAAAGGTTAGTGTAAATAAAACAAAGGCAGGAAAATTCTGAGTTATAGAGATGTTGTCAGATCAAATTTTGCCCCAAATTTAGGTATTGTACGAGTAAGCTTGCCCCAAGCAAAAGACCAATAAAAATATTATTAGGATTAGTATTCTTCCAGTGGAATATTTTCTTAATGTTGTTGCAGTGTTTGTAGCTTGATTTTTCATCTTTATCCTTGTACCAGCATCTAATTGTAAAGTTGACTATAAAACAAAAGTGAATCTAACTACTTTAGTTTCTTAGTGCATGCTAACAGAAACAAACATAAAAGAATAGTACCAAATAGGGCAAAGTTATATATTGTAAACATTTTAACTGTAATCTAAAGAAATCACATGTATATTTCTAACTTGACCCTTGCCTAAGGCTTTCTCTGATTTTAACCCCTTGTGCTTAGGGAACTGTCTGAACTACAGAAGAGCACTTGTTAACTGGAAACCTCTGCTAAGGATGCAATTACAGTGGCTGCTGAATTGTTTTTCTTCAGTGAGACCCATTCTGATAAACAGGTGGTTTTGTGATTTATATTTTGTATTCAAATCACAATTAGTTTGGCTTCCTAATATATGACCCACTTCAAAACAAATAGCAGTTTATTCTTAATGAATAGATCTCTCTTGCTCTCTGTTTTGTTTTTTTATAGGTGGCCAGTGTCTCTTGGCATCTGCTCCTAGCCTTCTCTCTCCAAAGAAAAGCCTGACATATTATTAAGGAGAACCCATAAAGACAATAGGCTTTGCACTGCAGATTTATCATTGTTTTTCACTACTTTGGGGAACTATTCTGGCCTGGCTGTTGAGCATTGCTTTCTGTTCCCATCACTTTTATGTATATTAAGGATAAGGACAATTCTTCTGTTTCAGTGCTAGCAGCAGAAGCTGCTGGATAACAAATCTTAATTTCTGGAGACTGAAATTCTTTAGTGTAACCCAAGTTATAGGGCTACAAGGCAATTAGGAAGTGTAAGGATATAAAAGGCTAACCAGTTACCTAGCATGCTTACCCGGGGTAACTGATTAACCAGTGCCCAGCATGGTATAGTGGGCTCAGCCCAGCCTGTCTGGTATGCACCACGGGCGGGGACCGCTCTAGACTTGATGTGGCAGGCTGGTTAAACATACAGTTTAAATGGTTAACATTTTAAACATGAGTTTTCATCTCTAGTCAGACTAGATAATCTAGTGGTTCCTTCTGGCCGTAAACACTAAAACCATAATTCCCCAGGAGCTTTCAGTATTAAATCTACAACATTGCTAATCCTGGAAGCAAAGGATCAGGTCCTCACCTGTTAGTTAACTGTGATTCCACTACACCACTGAATCAGTCTCTGAAAATGAGGACTCTAAAGAATAACAAACAAGGTGCCTGTTGAAACCTACTAATAAACCAATGCACACATTCTCACTGTGATAGAAATGTAGCCGTGTTAGTCTGGTGTAGCTGAAACAAAATACAGGACTATGTAGCACTTTAAAGACTAGCAAGATGGTTTATTAGGTGATGAGTTTTCGTGGGCCAGACCCACTTCCTTTGATCTGATAGTGGAAGAAAATAGTCACAACCATATATACCAAAGGATGATCCCAAAGAGAATATCATTTGTCTGGTGGTACGAAATAAGCATAGAATTTCCAGTGCTTACAAAGGTTCCTGTGAAGCAGGACACTGAATGATCCCCAAAAGAAGAGCTAACTTCCACATGAATTTTACATGATAGCAACATTCACTGTTTTTCCTCTTTTTGTCCTGGACAAAGGTCAAATTTCTCATAAAGCTGTCTATGAGAATTTCAACTGTTAGGGTACTTGACCCCCTTCTGTTCTGAAATTTGATTTGTCCTTTTCATATGTGTTCATTTTTTTTAATTGTATCTTTTGGTATATATGGTTGTGACTATTTTCTTCCACTATTTGATCTGAGGAAGTGGGTCTGGCCCACGAAAGCTCATCATCTAATAAACCATCTTGTTAGTCTTTAAAGTGCTACATAGTCCTGTATTTTGTTTCATTCTCACTGTATGAGCACAAAGCACTTTCCACCACTGCAGTTGTCTGCTCCCTCACTTTGAGCAAATGGTCTACTGAAGTATACAAAACCCTTCTGTCTCAGATTCTCCCAAGGATGAAGCAGGCTAGCTCAGCAGGGAGGCAGGAGAGTGCCATGTGCATGCAGCTGTGATTCAGCGCTCAGCGGGTATATTGCTTTTCTGTACAGGTCTCTCAGCTTGCTCACACTTCATGTGAGGGGAGCAAAAAATCCCTATTCTTTTTTGGTCCCTTTCTTTTAATGGCCAGGCATCGCAATAGCAAAGGTATGGAAACCAAGTCTACTGAATAATGGTTTAATGATGTGGAATCTATTGTGTTCATTTTGCATGGATTGCTGTTATAGTGTGAAAACTACTGGGATTCTTTAATTTAGTATGGAGGAATAATGTGAGGATGGAACCGACACCGAAAACCCTGGATAAGGGATTATGGAAATAATGATATTGTTAGACTGAACCAGAATTTAAGAGTAAGATGGATGCTGCAAGATTATTAAATCTATAAAATGAAACATTTTACAATCAGACTCCAGAACTAATAACAATTGAATTCCAGTCTCCTTTTTACAAAAAGAATGGAAATGTTTAATAATTAACCTCTTCCGTGCCAGTGCCCACTGGAATTTTGGTATCTCAAAGATGTATTTTGTTTCAAATGTTGAGTAGTGAGGCAACACTGAAGAGGTTAATAAAATATCCTGGATTAAATCATAGGTGTGAATGATTATATGTTTTAAAAAAATGCCCCAAAACCATCAGAAAGGCAACTGACAAATCTCTTTTGCTCTCATTTATCTTTCTGACAAATGTACAGGATGTTGGAAATTTATCATTTTGGTTGATTAACATCCAGAAAGGTAGATCAGAACAACCACATTCATTTCACTCATGTCTGAGGTCACATCTGAATCCAGGTTTTCAGAGGTAATATACTAATGTCCTAAGGCACTGCAACATCTGGTTACTCTTTTGATCTGCAATATTAAAATGCTTGATTTACTATCCTTGTGTACCCATAAATTGTGTAAACTCAGAGGCATGACAATGGTGGTTGGGTATCATGAGGAGATGATTCAGTCATGAGTATCTATTGGGTTTCCTTATTGCTGCCATTATACTTACTTCAGTTTTACTTATGAATCACGTAAGTGAATCATTCAGTGTGCCAGAAACTGCAAGTTTAGTGTTAGAACTTGCCCACTGCAAGATTAGCTTTAATTAATATGCCCCTTCAGAATGTGGAAGAACCAAATGGATTGCTTATTCACCAGAGCTGGCTGATAAATTAAAAATAAATTGCCTATGTGAATGTACATAGCCGGAGGTGGTAAGGAAATAAATCACTTTTCCCTTTTCTTTCTGAACAGGATCAAAGCACCCTGGAATAAATGTGAGTACCAGTTTTGCACTAATTGAATCTACCTTGAAAAGCCATGGCCACTGCCTCTCACCTGAACTCGGATGCACTGCGTGAAGTTCTGGAGTGCCCTATTTGCATGGAGTCCTTTACTGAGGACCAGCTGAGGCCCAAACTCTTACACTGTGGACACACCATCTGCAAACAGTGCTTGGAGAAACTCCTAGCCAACAGCATCAATGGGATACGCTGCCCCTTCTGCAGCAAGATCACTCGAATCACCAACTTGGCTCAACTGACTGACAATCTCACTGTGCTGAAGATCATAGACACCACAGGACTTTGTGAAGCTGTGGGTCTTTTCATGTGCAAAGTGTGTGGGAGAAGGTTGCCCAGACACTTCTGCAAGAGCTGTAATTTGGTTTTGTGTGATCCGTGCAAGGAGACAAAACATCTGCAGCAGGGGCATGGTGTTGTTGCCATCAAAGAGGCTGCTGATGAACGGAGGAAGGAATTTGGGGCAAAACTTGGCAGACTTCGGGAGCTCATGGGGGATCTGCAGAAAAGAAAAACATCACTGGAAGGAGTCTCCAAAGACTTGCAGTCCAGATACAAAGCAGTTCTTCAGGATTATAGCAAAGAAGAGCGCAAGATCCAGGAAGAGCTGGCAAGGTCACGGAAGTTCTTCACAAACTCTCTGTCTGAAGTAGAGAAAGTAAATAACCAGGTAATGGAGGAGCAGGCTTATCTACTGAACATTGCAGAGGTCCAGATAGTATCGCGATGTGACTATTTCCTTGCCAAAATTAAGCAGGGAGATATAGCTCTCTTGGAGGAGGCAGCGGACGAAGAAGAGCCAGAACCAACAAATAGCCTACCAAGAGAGCTGACTCTCCAAGAAGTGGAACTCCTCAAAGTGGGCCACGTGGGGCCACTACAGATTGGGCAGGTGGTAAAGAAACCTCGAACTGTCAATATGGAGGAATCTCTGATGGAGACTGCTGCATCCTCATCGTTTACGTTTAGAGAGACTGAAGTGGTGCAAGAAGAGACTAGTTTGACACCTAATTCCTCACCTGCCAAACCAAGGGTGCCTGAAACAGCCACAAGCATCCAGCAGTGTCACTTCCTCAAGAAGATGGGCTCCAAAGGCAGCATGCCAGGGATGTTCAATCTTCCTGTCAGCGTACATGTCACTGTACAGGGAGAGGTGCTTGTGGCAGATCGTGGCAATTTCCGAATCCAGGTATTTACTCGCAAGGGCTTTCTGAAGGAGATCCGGCGGAGCCCTAGTGGCATTGATAGCTTTGTGCTGAGTTTTCTTGGAGCAGATCTTCCCAATTTAACTCCCCTCTCTGTCACCATGAACTGCCATGGCCTGATAGGAGTGACTGATAGCTATGATAACTCGGTAAAGGTGTATACCATGGATGGACACTGTGTTGCATGTCATAGGAGCCAACTTAGCAAGCCATGGGGCATCACAGCTCTGCCTTCAGGGCAGTTTGTAGTGACCGATGTGGAAGGGGGAAAGCTCTGGTGTTTCACAGTGGACCGTGGTGTTGGGGTAGTTAAGTACAGTTGCTTATGTAGTGCTGTGCGCCCAAAGTTTGTCACGTGTGATTCTGAAGGGACCGTATATTTCACTCAGGGGCTGGGACTCAACCTGGAGAACCGCCAACATGAGCACCACCTCGAGGGGGGCTTTTCAATTGGCTCTGTAGGACCAGATGGGCAATTAGGCCGCCAAATCAGCCACTTTTTCTCAGAGAACGAGGATTTCAGATGCATTGCTGGGATGTGTGTGGATGCTAGAGGAGACCTAATTGTTGCAGATAGCAGCCGTAAAGAAATCCTGCATTTTCCTAAAGGAGGTGGCTACAACATCTTAATCAGGGAGGGTCTCACCTGCCCTGTTGGCATAGCCATTACACCGAAAGGGCAGCTGCTCGTGCTGGACTGTTGGGATCACTGCATTAAGATCTACAGTTACCATTTGAGGAGGTATTCCACACCATAAGAGTGTATCACTGGATCAAGCTACTCTTCTCCTTATAGATTTCTCCCAGCCTTATAATAATTTCACAGAAGTTAGTGCTGCACTTTCACATAGATTATGCCATAATCTAAGGTGTGTCATTATTTTGTGTTTAGAAACAAAATCGCTTTTTATGTGTATATTTTAAGAAAAAGCAACAACTCATCACACCTCCCTGGAACAAAGCATACTTATGGAGTACTGGCTGCACGTTAGATGACTGATCTCTCTCTGCAGTTTACTGCCTTGTGCTGTAATTCATGTTCCCAGCTTCAACTATTGCAGTCTTCTTTGTGCCATAAACATTAACTGACTGTTCTCCATGGCCTTTCCTTAGAAGATCTATGAAGTGGTCTTCTTTCCACCACAGTTCTCACAAAGATCTCGGTAACTATTCTCCAGATAGCCCCAGAAAGATATTTCTGATTGCAGCACTGCAGCTGCAGAGAACACAGCCTCCCTAAGCTGCACAAAGTTGCAGCTTGCATTAAACGAAAGGGCAAGGCTGTGGCCCTCCCTCTTCGTAAGTAGTCAGGAGAATATCCTCATGGTGCCATTAGTGAACCCCACTTGGTCCATCAGTCTCTTCAATGTGAAGTAGGTACAGTACAATCATGGAAGAGTGATCGAGATGGAGAACTGCCCTCTGATGGCAAACAGAATTTCATTACAGTTTGATTAGCATATGAAAAGTGTAGAGCCAGGGAACAACTGACAGGAGAGCCTATTTAATAAAATTAATTTTAGTCTGTCAGTATTCACAGTTGTTTTACTATTAAATCTGGCTTGGAACCTGTCTGTGAATGGTATGTTTGGTATTTGAAGCTTTGGCAGAGGAGAGAGAAATTGAAGTAAACAAGATCAAATGTGACAAATCATATGTTCATCTGCACACTTCAATACTCTGCATTCCGGACCATTGCATTTACTGATAAGTTTCCACTAGTCTGCACTTCATATGTGAAAGCAACTTGTTCATGAGATGGGAGGGGAGGAATCTTATTTTATTACTTAGAAGCTCTTCCACTGGTGGCTTGCATTTTTTCTTCATGCACAACAAAAAGCTACATTCCTAAAGACGTTGTTTGGCCTTTTTTTTTTTTATGGCTCCAGCAGGCACAAGGGTGCATGTTCATCTCAGCTTTGGGTTAGATGAAGCACAAAACTGCACCTGTGTGAGTTAACACACCCACAGTGTGCCTGTCATGGCTGATCAACACATATCTCAGTATGGCATTGTTTGTCTACAATGGATTATTGAAGAAAAGAAATATTTAAATAGGGCACAGGTGCCAAAGATAATAGTTCCACTGCAGTGTAATTACTATTTGTTACCATCAATAATGTTGTAAATTTGGAAGTACAACAGATCATGTATGAAACTGGTTTTATAATGGCTGCTGTGTCTAGCATTTTCAAACTGTATTTGCTGTAGTATCAAATGTGTCCTACAATGTGTAACAAGCAAGTTTTTAAATTCCCACCAGCTGTGTGTCCCTTCTTTGCTAAGCAACTGTAAACAACAACAAAAAAGCTTCCTAAGAGCCCCTCCTGCCAGCTGTGTGACTGTAACAGGGCTTCAAGATCAAGTGCTGAAAGCAGAATCTTGGTTTGTGGATTCCCTGATAATGCCAAAGAACTGGGCAGGGCCAGCACATTAGCCCCAACCACTCCAGATCCATCTTTGCTTTTATTTGTACAGTTCCTCACACAGGGAGTACAATCTGATCTGGGGAACGAGGTACTGTACTATGACATGGTCAGCTAGAAGAACTAGAAGGGAGCAGGCACAGGGAGGCATTGGATCTGTAGAGAGGAAGGCACCATGGCTTCTTAAGAGAATTAAAAAATTCAGCTCATACCATATGATTTGTGGTGTGTTTGCTATAGGTACAACCCCCCAGGCCTGGAGTTACACACTTTTTAAAAATTTTGCCTAAGGTGTGTAGTGGCAATCTGAGGTGTAACTTGTATCCTGGACTGTATGTTGTTTGGCTAGATATGGTTGTATTGGGCCTTCATTTGGCTAATCGTGCTGTAGCCTAAGCCATTTTATAAACATTACACCTGTGGTACTGACATTTCATGTTTAAAAATTTAAAAATCTCATCTGGTTCTACAGAAGTATTTTCTGCAGGAAGTTTCCATAGAACTGAATAAATGAAGCAATATTATCTTTCATAATAAGCACCTTCATCAAACTATTCCGGTGAAACCCTTTTGTCCTATTCTTCTAGAATCCAAATGGCTTCATTTAAGTGGACTTAAGTGTCCCATTCTGCTGACTGAGCAATTGGCTGCCAAGGTTTATCCTGGTGTTCATGGTTTAAATTAAGTCTCCATCATCTCTTCCATCCTGTATTCCAGATTAAAAGAAAAGGACATGCTATTTTACGATGCACTTATAGAGCAAGATAGAAAGGGGACTGGTGTATGTGTGTTTAGCCTGTAGCTGCTATTCTGTTCTTGTGGTTTTTTTACAGGCAGGCCTGGGGAAGAGAAGAGGAACCGCTATCCACAGCTAGTGTACGTGCTACATCTGGCAAAGTGGAATTGGCTATAAAGTAGTTTCTCAGAGCTACATCTTGCAATGTTGTTTTTCTTTTTGCCATCATGGTGATCAGCTCCAAATGAGATGAAATAGAGTAATTAAAGATTGTGATAAAATCGTTTAGCTTCTGCTTTCCACCTGAAGAAGGAACAGGTCTGATTATGAGTTTGTGTGGCTTTTAATGATTGTGTAATAAAGGGAAAATGAACTAATTAAAAGTGCACTGCAAATGATTTGTCTCGTAAAAAAATCATCTCCTTGTGCTCTCTTTGGTGGCAGACAGGTTTTCATGGCCAGCTGGAATTAGATTTGCTGACATTTGCAAGATCCCTTCTCATTCTGCCAGGACGTGAAGAGTATATCTACTCTCTTTGGCAGCCCTGGAGTATGTATTTCACACTTCTTTCCTCACTTTACACACACAAATATTAGGGTTTCTCATGCATGCTCGGCTCAATGGGCCCTGAAGGCCAGTATCTCTGTCTTCTTGCTGTGACTGGTACCTGATGCTTCAAAAGCAAACAACCTCCATACCTCCAGAGTGCAACTAATACAAATAGTTGAAAATGCATCAAGCGGTTGGAACCAGAAATCCTGGATTATAATTCTAGATTTGCCATTGATTCACTTAGCCACTGTCTGCTTCAGTTTATCCACCTGCAACATGGATAATGTTGCTTCTATTTCTCCAGAGTATCATGAGTTGGGATAATCTGATAGGTGCTATCAATAGAAGAAAATCCCATAGGGATCTTCTGGATAGGGAAAACCACAAGCGATTTGCCATTTAGGTTTAGAGGATAATATCTTAATACGTCCTCTGATTTCCTTGTTACCAGGGCAGTCTGTGTTACCCTGACTTTTCCTATGAGGGGAGACAGCACTTTAAACAGTTACTGGTTTATAAAATGTAAAGAAATTTGAAGAATGATTGTCATATTGACCTTGATCAGCGGTTTCCTGAAGAGACGATTTTTCATGACAGTTATAATTTCACAGTAAGCATTCATTCTGGATTAAAACTTGACATGTGAAGTTGGAGGCTGGGAGGTTACTTTTAAAAATAGTTTTATTTTTTAGCCAGAGGGCAGGGTTATAAAAATAAAAATAAATACAGGCACTTTTAAGTTACATGCATTGTATATTTTAAGATTTTTTTTTCTGGATCATTAGTCAATGTGAGGCTGTAAAGTTACTTCATTTTGCACAGCTAATTACTTGCCTGGCAATTTTGGATTACGACAAGTAGGGCATAAGGTCATTTAGCAGGCTGATTCACAGCATGTACAGTTTAGTCTGCACAAAATTTCACAACAACTGGCTAGATTTTTGTAAGTCTGAAAAATGTTAAATCTGTGGCTTTAAAACATGTATCTAGGCATAAACTGAATACTGTAAAGAGTTATCTATTTAACACAGTACTTGTTTGTAGAAAGATTTAAAACTGCTGTAAAATTCTATGTGCTCACATTGTGACCAGTCAATAAAAGCAGGTTTGGGAGAAAGTAGTGTATCCATAGTGCCTAAATACTCAAATGGGTGAACTAGAGGGCATAGCATTAAATTAGGATATTAATAGAATAGGCATCACAGAAACTAGGTGGAATGAAGATAATGAATAGGACACAATACATAGAAATGACAGAGTAGGTTGTGCTGGTGAGGGAATTGTATTCTGTGTACGCAAAAGCAGTGTCAAATGAAGAATTACCTTGTATGGCTCCAACTGCACCATAGAATCTCTATGGATAGAAATTCCATACTTGAACAATAAGAGTATAGCTGTAGGAATAATCTACCCACCACCTGACTGGGATGGTGACTGGTTGTCAAATGCTCAGAGAGATTAGAGAGGCTGCAAAGGCAGAAAACAATATAATAAAGGGGGATTTCAACTATTCTCAATATTGACTGGGCAAATGTCACCTTGGAACATGATGCAGGGATACAAATACTAGATGCTATAAATGATTGCTTTGCTTCCTTCGAAATAGAGCATTATTCTGACAAGTCCCTTAATCCTTGTGGAATGAGGTTTACCGGGACGTCGGACTCGCAAGCCCATTATTTCGATTGCATTTTGAAATAACGGGCGTGCTGTTGAGATGTGGAAACGCTATTTTGGGATATCGGAGGTATCCCAAAATAGCACTGCTGTCTACACGTGCCCATATTGACTGGCTGTATGTCAACTCAGCAAGGGATGCAGGGATTAAGTTTTTAGATGCCATATAAATGATGGCTTCCTAGAGCAACTGGTGCTGGACCCACAAGGGACAGAGACACCTCTTGATTTTATCCTCAGAGGAGCCAAGAGGTGACTATAGCTCAACGGCAACTACAATATAATAACATTTAACATCCTTTACAGGGAAAAATGCCAAAGAAACACACCACATTTGGGGTGACTGGCCACCAAAACGGCACTTGAAATTCAATGTTGACATGTTTGGCTCTATTAGGAAAGTGTTAGATAAGACCAAAAATATCAAAATGCCACTATATCCAGGGCTCGCCGAACCGCAGCGAGCCCCGCTCGCCAGCCACGCTGTCCAGCGATCTGCGCATGCGTAACTCGGGGTCTGCCATTTACGACAGTTTCAGTCGTAACTGCGAACGGTCATAAGCATATGGAGGATGCTTTGATGGTGGTGTCCATCCATACCCTTTGATTGTCAGACGCTGGGAGTGGATGACAGGATGGATCAGTCAGTGATTGCCTGTTCTGTTCATTCCCTCTGTGGCGCCTGGCATTGGCCACTGTCAGAAGATAGGCTATTCGGATTGATCTAGTATGGCTGTTCTTATCCTTTAGCTAAGGGTGCGTTGATTTCAGGTGCTGAGGCTGTCTGCAGTGTTTGCTGTGCATGTAACTGGGCCACACTGGCTGAGGCCAGGGGATTGTATTCATGAGCCATTTGGGGAGGAGGACTGTAAAAATAGCAAATGAAATTAACTCGATGTTGGAAGGAAAAGTGGCACAAATGCTCTCTGGCCATGAGAACATGACCAAATGCCTCCCTCACATTCTTAGCGCATCCCTCCCAGCATCATCTTCTCTGACTGTAACATTCTTTTTAGTTCCATCTTCATTGTGAAGGAAAAGAATGATCTAAGTATAGAACTGGGTACATCTGCATGCTCATCTAACACTGGCAGCCTGACCTTGGGCAAGTCACTTAACTGCCGTGTCTCAAGTCTCTCAAGCCGTAGAGCAGAGGAAAGCTGGATGGCTTAGTTGCGGTCTGCACAGTGTAGTTACGATGCCACTACAGTGCTTAATGGTGTTTGACCCTGTGCAGTGTTGTGCATAGCTTCTCTGTTTTCATCTGGACAAATGACAATTTTAAATGCACATTTATTGTCTGTGGGCTTTTTATTTCACTGGAAGTGAGGGAGATCCAAAGCGTAGTTGTTTGAAGTCCTTCCTGGGATGTCAGAGTTGGCTCACTAAACAACTGTTCCTTTTCCAGTTGGCCTTCTTCCTCCAATCAGACTGAAGGGGGATGTAGCCCAAATAGATGTATTAAAGTTATTTTGCAGAGAATGGACCGGATGGTAGCAGGTGCATTTGCTGCACTTGGAGAGCCTTTCTTGGCAGGATTCCTCCATTTCCTCCTGTGTGTTTTGTGTCAGTAAAAGCAACAGGAAGTAGCATGAGGTCAGCAGGTGTGTGCAAGCTGCCAAATGAAGACGTCCACAGCCTTGGTGTGAACTTAATAACGTGCTACCAGTGTTAAACACCAGCTCTAATGGTGAAGAAAACCGATGCAGGCTTCGGTGTAATGGATCAACAGCTGGGTCAATTTCAGAGCCTCGGCTCAGTGCACACCACACTCCCATTTGATGAGTTAAAGTGTTGCTAGGTAACGTGGAACCATCACCAAAGAGGCCCGTGAGATAGGGCCTTTAATCATTTTCAAAGAAATCAGAGGGGGGAGGGTTGTTTTGTTTGCCCACAATCCAACTTGCTCTCCAGGGAGGAGATTGGAAAAAAGGCAAACTTCCAATGTTTGCCTTAGGAAATCAACACTTGATCTCTAATCTGAACTCCAAAAGGCCCCCTCCCCTCTCTCTCGCATATGTTATGTGACTGAAAATCCTTATCACAGGAAGTCTCCTTGGTGGCATCAGTTCAGTTTCCAGGGATGCCCTGTCTATACCCCCAGTATCATAACTGATACTCTTGCTGGAGGTCTCGGTGGAGGGGCTAAGGAGACTGAAAGTTTCCCTTGCCTTTTGTGGGTGTCTATCCAGAGTGAGGTGAAGGTGGCTTAAGGCAATGCGGCTCATGCTATATAGGGGCAGAGTAGGGAAAAGTGGCCCTCATCCGGCCCCCATTTTGTCTCCAGCTAAGCACATCCAGTACCTGTGACCAGCATGATGTTCATCTTGAATGTGCAGCATGTTTTCAGTGAGGGAAGATTAATTCTGTAGTCCCCCCCTCCCCACTTTAGATAATGGGCAGAGAAACTAGGGATGTAAAAGTGTAACCCTGTACATGGTTAACCAGTGAGCCTGGGCTCATCAGTTAACCTTCATGGTTACACGCAGGCTCTTGGTATGCGCAAGGAGTTGGCTTGAAAGGCTCCCAGCACACACCTGCTCCCCAGGAGCCACGGAGCCATCTCCTCCCTTCCCCCTCCTGCGTGTTACCTCTGAAATGTTCAGTATGTCCATGTTTACTTAAACGCATTGTAACATCCCTAATAGAAACCAAGCTGTCCATCGACCCCAGCACATGCCGTGTTTCCTCTGTCACTAGCACAGGTGAAGAGGATGCAGCACAGTGGAACCTCTTTTGGCTTTCATATTGGGCTTGCCACCAGGGTTTCTTAGCACTGGGAACGAGAGGGGAAAGCTCTTTCTGGCTCTCTACAAAACCAAACCAGCATGGCTTGCGTTTGGCTAGAGAAATCTAACACCTACGCACTTCAAGGGCTCCGGTGACTGTTCCTGTCTGCGGCCTGCTAGCATGGTTATTCAGACAGTTCCAACATTGGCAAGGAGCTTGCCTTTGGCCCAGCAATTTACAAGAAGCTGGACTGCCAGCGGCACAGTTTTATGTTCGAGACAATGTTTTTAATTAGGGTACAAACACACAGATTGTGTACTTTGTTGGCAGGCACCTCCTCCTGGGGCCTCCAGATTTATTTATGAAGTTGATTAAAATAAGATACTTTGGCTAGGAAGCTGCAAATGTGCTAGAATAT